GACCTGCATCAAGCGCGTCGCGCTCTACAGACGGCGAAGGACAGATGACAGAAACAGGACCTGACTCAGACCTACACCTCCCCGCTGCAGCTAGTTACGTAGGAGGAGTGACAGTGAAGGCGTCGCAAGCTGATGGCGCAAGGGTCATGGCTCGTGAGACCCACAAAACTGCCCATACACCCGACAGCCAAGCGAGCAGCGATGCAGAGCACAACATCACAGGCTTGCCCCTTTCACAAACCCAGGAAGCGCAAAGAGCGGAACCTGCTGTTAATTCTGCCTCTCTACAAGGACTCTCCGTGGGTGCCAGCTTCACTGCCTTTCAGGAGGAAGTGCAGTCTGCAGTAGCCACTGACGGGGATGAGAATCCCATGAAGAAGCTTTGCCGGGAAGTGCCCCATAGGGCCTAGGGTTTAGGGTTTTAAGTTTAAGGTTGTGGGTTTTGGGTTTAGCTGCCCACGTGACTCTCCAGTACCTTTACAGTTCAAGCAACGCAACTGATTAAGGGCAAAGAAAACAGCTCACGACAGCCATTGGAGCTTGAGTTGTCAAGCAGGCGTCAAGCGATCATACTTTGCCCTTCTTTACCTCATACTTCGTCTCATTTTGTCTCATTACATTTTATCTCGTTTCACCTATTCTAATATCAGCTTTTTTCATTTTATCACGTTTTGTTTTACCCAATTCACTCTCGTTTTGCTTATGGTTTTGATTTATTTTGCTTAATATTATTTTATTTTATCCCTTGCCATCTCATTGTATCTCACGTTATCTCACATCATCTCCCGTACGATTGTGGACATGACTTTGGTGTATGTTCCATCCCCTTATTTCACATCAAAATGAACAACTAGAAGTCACGCTCAAATAGCTGCTGCTGTTGGATAGGTAGTAGGCTCTAAGCAACGCTACATGTTCCACTGTGGAGAGTCACATATTGGCCTTGCTTCATGAGGACCGCATGAGGGGCATTTGCGCACTATATATTGAATCGGTACTCCGCTTGTCATAGGAATCGACAGCGTGCTGCTGTACGCTGTCAGGCGTTACTGCGTGGTAGAACTCACTGCCTTGCGGACAGGTTGTCAATGCGGCTATTGGGCTGAGAACGTTCGCTGTTCTATATGGGGATAGTATAGTGTTGTATATATATATATATATATATATATATATATATATATATATATATATATATATATATATATATAT